GGCACAAGGCACAAGAAACAACCCCATCAAATTCCAGAGCAAATCTTTTGAAATCCCAACACTTTGTTCAAACATATAAACCCAGATCTTCTTCCTGCTGCCACTGCTGCCACTGCTGCATCGGCTCCTCTTTTGGGGGGTTTTCTTTTCAATTTCGTTGAGACGCAGGGCCATTAAACGCTTTAAAATCAACATCAACACCGATGATGATGACGACGACGACGACGACGACGTCGACAGGGGCAATAAAGTCGACCCAAAAATTGCTTCCTCTGCACATAAAACTCTGCCCGTCCTACCGTCCTCCCGTCCTCCCGTCCGCCTGAAATACCTTCACACGAAGAGCGGATCGTCGGAGCAGAAGGGAGTGAAGCGACTGGCGAGGTCTCTGCAAACAAATGCGGTAAAAGTAAACGAAACACTTTGCCATCCCAGGGCCAGGCCCAAGCCCAGTGCCAGGCCCAAGCCCAGTGCCAGGCCCAGTCCCAGTCCCGGTCCCTGGTTGGGGATGTGGATGGGGCACCACCGGGGTCCCCTACCCACTTAATACTTAAATGCAAACGTGTAAATTATGTGATTTTTCCCCGGCGGCCATGTTTGTTTGCAAACTCCATTACCAACATGGCGGGAGCTTCCTCCCTGACTAAACCCGTTACCCCTGCCCCCTGCCCCACTCCCCCATTCACCTGTTTGTTTCGAGCAATCGTCGCGCTCTCCAACCATTAAAATGCGAGAACGGAGAAGCACAGAAACAACAAAAAAGAACGACTGGGATACCCCTTTATGCGCCTTTATGCGCCTTTATGTGTTTTGCATGTACTTTTATTTGATTGTCGCACGCTTTGGCGCCCCCGAACAGGGGGGCCCCGGCCTGGGGGGACAGTGGCGGTGCCGGTGGCGGTGGCACTGTTTTTTAGTGCTCAAAATATTAGCAAATGTTCATTAACGGCCATGCAAATTGGTCGGCAGGTCGGACCACCACACCCCGCTGGGAGGGGGGGTCATTACTCAAAAAGTACTTAACACACAATTGTTGCGTGGGTCGGAGGTCTGCAGAGACGGGGTGGGGTGGGGGAGGTGGAACTAAATATTGAATCCCCATTTGGGGGAAGAAAAGTTGCCCGATTCTTCGGTGCGTCTTTTCCACACTTGAGAATGATTTTTAATTACAAGAAGAGGATTTTCCATTGGGCCTATATTTGGGTCCTTTTCGTGGGCGTGGGCGTGGGCGTGGGTGGGGGCGTGGAACGAAGATCCCAGAGATGCCAGCCCAGCGGTCCGGAAAGCCAATTAAAATGAAATCAAGCCACACTCCCCCCTTCCCGGCCGTTGCCTTCTTCGGTGTTTATTGGACTACAACACCTAAGAGACCCCACACACACACACACACACAGGCACACACGCACACATGCATAATGGAAATGTGTATAAATTTGTAATTTTAATATTATTAAAAATGTTAAATTGCACGCAGCATAAATCAGATTCAAGCGAGCAGGAGGGAGCGTCAGCTTGTTGCTGCCTCCATTTGTGGCCCAGAGAGATTGAAGAGGGGGGAGGGGGAGGGGCTGTGACACACACGTAAATGTACGAGAGGGTGTCACATTATACAGTAACCATTATTGCCAGCTGCGTTGGCCACACTATTTATATTTTTATTGTTTTTACTGCCTGCCACCCCTGCCATTCCCCCGTGCACCCCTTGCACCCCTTGCACCCCTCACCAGCCCCACTCCCTTCGCCTTTTGCTGTCGCTGGCTGGCGGCTGTGTGTTGTTTTAATTTAAGCGATTTACGTTCGGCCGCAGGCTTTATTCCAAAATTTTGCATACAATGAAATGAAATGAAATTAATAAACCGAAATGTTTTATGTGTCCTGCCTGCGTGCGTCCTGCGTGCCTGCCTGCGTGCCTCCTGCCTGCCTGCCTGCCTGCCACTGATTTATTGTACAATGTAATGTTCAGGTTAATCCGACGGAGAGGAGTTCATTGGAATCCAATTCGATTCGATTGCAATTAAGCAGCAAATTTAGCGAACAGCAAACGCCCGCTTTGGGGGGAGTGGAGGGGGTCTTGAGGTTGCCTTGGCACAATCTCTGATGCCAAGGCCACCGATTGGGTCGTTAGCGAGGAAGATAAAAACATATTTGTGATCTATTTCAGCGATAAATTGACCCAATCGCTACCTCCCGGGCCATTTATCGTGGCATGTGGCATGTGGCATGTGGCATACTTTGTCGTGTGCGCCATTACGTTTAATGACCCCGTGCCTCGTTCTAGTACTCGTTCTCGTTCTCGTTCTCGTAGCACTTTCGTCTCATCTCAGCCTCCGCCAGAGAACACATTCACCGCTCTGCCCTGCCCCTGCCCTGCCCCTGCCCTGCCCCTTTCTTTCCTTCACTTTTTTTTTTTATTTTTAAAAGCATCTCCACCGCCCATTAACTTGTGTGAATTTATATCCAGTCATTGGAGTCCCCGACTACCGACTACTCTGACGGCTATTATGCGTTCGTTAATTATTCACACACACACACACACACACACCACACACACACAAATACCCGCATAGCCCAACCCCAGCCCACTAGCCACACGTTTCGGTCATAAAAAGCTCCTGCCCTGCCCTGCCCTGCCCTGCCCGGCCCTGCCCTGCCTGCTTCCTGCCATAACAGACACGCCCCCCCCTTAACGAGGCAACTAACTTTTCCAAAGAGAGACAGAGAGAGAGAGGGGGGGAGAGGGAGTGAGAGATGAGAACTCTCAGCTTAACCTTTGCAAATGTCTCCTCTGGATTGTGGACTGTGGATCTCCTCCCTGGACATATCCGTGGCCCACTCAGGCGCCCAGGCACCCCCACATATGGAAAGATCTCTTGACATTAAATAAATCTAACATTCATTCCCCGATTACACACACACACACATGCACGATGCTTAGTGGGCATCTTTAATACTCATCCGCAAATGCATTGCCGTACATGGATGGATATACGGATACGGATACGGATATACATATACAGATATACGAAAAAATGACGCAGACATTATTCACGCTATCATTGCGCACACACGGAGGCAGAGACAGTGGGGTGAGGGGAGCGGAGAGGAGGGGAGGGGAGACTGGAATTCTGGGGAGGCCATATCCATTTTGGGTTAGCCCCGAAAAAGCGGCCAACAGGCAACAGCCGGGCCAAACTACGATATGCTCTCTTATGGCTTTCGTACGGCGGAGAGCGAGAGAGAGAAGGGGAGCGAGGGTGAGGGGGAGAGGGAGAGGGAGATTCCTCCTTCCCGGTTTCGTTCTGCCAGAAATTACAACAATTTTTCGTAAAAGCGAACGTTTGTCACAGAGAGCAAGCGAATGATTTTACCCACACACACACACACACACACACGCACGGCACACACACGCACGCGGTTATGCCACATGCCACACTGTGAATGTGGGGGCGGGATGGGGGTGGGGGTGTCTGTCTACCGCAAAATGTGTAACCGAGTCTGGCATTGATAGCAACATGCGTCCCCCCCCACCGTCCCGCACCCACCAGCCCGTTCTCCGTTCTCCGTTGTCCACTCTCCATTCTCCGGGCCAGTATATTGCGGATTAAACAAGCACGCATACTCGTAACCTCAAAAGTGACCGCCGCCTCGAAACTTTATTGCGTGAAAGTGAACCCGAGTCCGTGTCCGTGTCCGTGTCCGAGTCCAAAAGTTGGCCAAGTCCGGATCCGGGTCCTTGTCCTCGGCTGAAGCAAAGACTCACTCAACGAACAGGACCAAGGCCTGCCGAAAACCATTTGATTTGTGTGTCCTTTCTTTAGCCATTCTCCCACCGTTCGCTGTCCGGATTTCCATTTCCTAGTCACTTTTTTGGGGCCGGGGCCCTGAACTCCATTTAAAGCGGCTCTCCCCCAGCGGCCGCTCCATGTCACATAATCGAATTATCATCATGGCATCAACAAATGATTTCAACTTATGCTCCCTTCGCTCGTCCTCGTCCTCGTCGTCGGTCCGGTCCGGGTCGGTCCTCCTGCTGGGGTCGCCTGTCGCCTGTCGCTGGCGCTGTCACCGCTTTTGGCTGTCCCGCGGCGTTGCCTTTTTTCACTTCACTTCACCACATCCACAGCCATTCAAAGCAGGATCCTCTGCTTTTTTTTCCCCCGTTTGCTAGCGTTTGCTCCCGCTTGCTCCCGTTTTGCCAACGTCATTGTCGCTGGTCATTTTCCCTGCTTATTTCATCCATTCATTCGTTCATTCATTCGGTCGCTCGCTGGTTCTCCCGTTCGCCCGTTCCTCCGTTCGCCCGTTCCTCCGCTCGCCCGTTCCTCCGTTCACCCGTTCCTCTGTCCCTGCGTTTCGTTGGTTTCATTTCATTTCGTTTCGTTTCTTTTCTTTTCGTGTTTTTTGTTTTTTTTTTTGTTGTTTTTGTAGCAGCTTTGTTCCCCCCGACCGTCGACCGTCGACCGTTGTCCGTCGTCTCGTCGTCGTTTGTTTGAGGTTATGTTGAATGTCAGTTTGTTATCCTTGTGCAAATCCTTTTATACAAATGAAATTTGCGCCAAATGGCGATAAGCAAAATACAATAGTGTGCGGAAGGTCCGCACAATCGCAGACCCCAGACCCCCAGACATGACCGCCCTGCGGTTTCCAAGAGAACCGAGTTTAAGGATGACCATGCCAGAATTTGGTGGGATTTTAATGGATTCCATTGCCATTGCCATTGCCATTGCCATTGCCATTGCCATTCCATGCTAACGAGTGACTGCATTTCGTCTGTTTGAATTGATAACTAATCCGAGACCCTTCCCGCTCTCTATCTCTCTTTTGCAGACATCAACAAGGGCTCTCCCATCGATTTCAAGAGCGGCTCGGCCTGTTCCACACCCACAAAAGACACACTGAAGGGCGGATACGAGCGCAGCACTCAGGGAGGAGGCTGCAGAGGGCCGGTCTTGCCGCCGAGCGTCATGAACGGACTGCCGTCGCACCACTACTCGGCGCCGATGAACTTCCGCAAGGATCTGGCCGCCCGCTGCTCGTCGTCCTGCATGATCGGGGCGTTCACAGCACTGTGCGTGGCCATCCTGCTGGTGGTCCTGCTGAGCATCACCGGAGTGGTGAACTGGTCCCATCCGGCGCCCTGCACCGTTCTAGTCGGCAACGAGGCCTCCGAGGTCACGGCTGCCAAGAGCACGAACACGGACCTCTCGAAACTGCACAACTCCTCGGTACGCGCCAAGAACGGACAAGGCACTGGAACCGCACAAGGCCAAGGACTCGCCGGAGGCGCTGGCGGAGGATCATCGGGGGCCGCCGTCACGACGGCCACATCGAACAGCGGAACGGCCCAGGGACTACAGTCGACGTCCGCCTCCTCCGCAGAGGCCACGTCCTCGGCGGCCACCTCATCCTCGCAGTCCTCCCTGACGCCTTCGACGTCGCTCTCCTCATCCCTGGCGAATGCCAATAATGGAGGTAATTATGCACAACTTTTAATTATTTTTAAATGAGTTTTCGCAAGTTTCGTAAGACACCAAGAGGCGGGGAGAGGCCTCAGTGGGGGAGAGAGAGAGAGAGAGAGAGAGAGAAAGAGAGAGAGACACTCAAGACGTCGGGGTATTTAGCGTTTAGCGCCCTCTGGCGGAGACAAAAAAGTTTATTGTTTTTGTAGGTTTTATTTTTTTTCGCTTCAAGTTGGCGGCTGACAGTAGACAGGATCCTGAATACTGAATACTGGGATACTGGATACTGGATCCTGGGATAGGGATAGGGATTATTTGAATGCCGGCTTCATTATATCTCGGAACGCCCTCTCCCATTTCTTTCAATTAAAGTTCAAGTTGAGTGCGTTCCTGGGGATTTGCCGGGCTAAAATATTGCATTAATTACTTTTTTGAATTGACAGCAAGACAGAGCCAGACACAAAGACAGAGAGACAGAGAGACAGAGAAACAGAGCGAGAGGAGCAGATGCTCAAGGGAGACAGGGGGAGAGATAGAGACAGTTGAAAGTTTTGTATGGGCTGTGTCGGAGGCAACTGTACCCAGACAGGGCTCGGCTTGAGAGCGACACGCGATAAGACAGCGATAGGAATAACATTTGAGTGCGTCTCTACTTATTTTCCAAGATAAAAACATGGCCATGGCCTTGCCACTGTGTACAGTGCGTTTTGTGGCTCGTAAGAGTCGAAATATTTAGCTATTATTTGTTCCATGACTGTAGGATTAAGGGTCCAGGGGTTCTGTATCTGTATCTTGTCACACGTGTGGCACTCAGCCGTCAGCAGTCGACAGTCAGTAGGCAATGGAGCTGTCAGAAGTCGACATCAAACGCTATCCCCCCCTCTCTCTCTCTCTCTCTCTCTCTCTCGCAGTCGGCAGACTGGAGTTTAGCTCTGGGGCCCTAAATATAGCCCCCGTCGCCACCTGTCGTCTGTCAGCCGGTGAACTAGCTCGAAGCTAGACAACTGGGATTGAATTAAAAATACATTTTACGCTTAATTTAAAGGGGCGTGGGCCTGGGGTCTAACCGCAAGAGGGGTTCAACGGTGCCTCCTTCGTACAGGCTAAAAAGTACAGTACGGTACAGTGTACAGTGTACAGTGTACTGTGTACAGTGTACGAACCTCTGTCTCGATTCGATTTGTTCGTTCTCTTTACCTTTACCTTTACCTTTACCTCTCTGCCTTTAACTTTAGCTGTAGGAAGAGCAATGTCAACGCTTCTGTCAGTCAGTGGGGCAGGCGGTGAGCGACATCGACATCGACATCGACGAAGTTTAATCGAGGGGTTTGAGGAGCAGCAGTATGGCAATGGCGCTGCCGATGACGATGATGATGTGGCGGCTACAGACGTTTCAGGAAGTTTCAGCAACTTAATTACTAGCGAAAGCCTGGACCTGGACCTGGAGCAGGAGCAGGCTGAAAATGTCCCGCCCGGCATTGCGACAGAGCCGGCGAGGACAGGGCAAAGTAATTACGATAAAACTTTGCCCAAATTCGATAGCGTATTGAGTGCCCAGCCCCAGGACGAAGGCTTTGTGGACGACATCAGCGACTATGTCTATGAAGATGAGGCTGAGGACGAGGCTGAAACTGAAGCTGAAGTTACGGCTGAATCGGAGACGGTGACGAATACGGAGAAGGAGTTCCAGAGGAGGCCCAGAAGCGAGCAACAATTTGGCAAATCATTAAACAGCAATTTACGGAGCGCGGCCAAAACGATGGTCAAAAAGAGGACAAAATATGACTTGAAGATGGAGACGGAGGTGGAGAAGGAGGTGGCGATGGAGCAGATGGTGGAGGAGCATCTCGAAGAGACCAGCGATACCATTGAGATGGCAACGGAGATGGCGCGGGAGCTGGAGCTGGAGCTGGATCTGAAGCTGGAGGTGGAGCCCAGCACATTTGTTGCTGTTATTGATGACGATAATCAAACTGACAACAGCAGCTCAGGAGCGCCGGCGCCGGAGACGGGCACGGGGACGCTTTTGAGGAGTGACACCGATGACATTGTTGAAATCAACACCCAGCCAGGACGAGCCGAGAGCCAGGAGCAGCAGCAAACGAGGCAAAGACAAAGCACCCTCCTCATCGCCGCCGCCTCATCCGCAAGCATGCCTGCCAAGGAAAATGATTTTCAAATCAGTGGGCAGGATGGGGAGGAGGAGAAAGAGTCTGGGGAGCCGCAGCAGGAGAAACCTGCCATTGATGATAACAATAATGAGCGTGATTTAGCTGACAACTATGAGGTAGCCGGGGAGGAGGAGACGCCGCCCGCACAAGGTATAAATCAATCCAACTGCCATGCCAGTGAGATGGAATTACGCTCAGGAAGAGTCCTTACAGTGGGCTCATCTTGGCAAAGATGTGGATCTTGTTGGATCCCAAAGCGGAGAGAGAGAGAGAGAGGCAGGGAGAAGGAAGTGGTTGCGAGGGAGGTCTTTTGTGAAACTAAATTGTGTAAAATTAATACTTATTATTAGGTGGGGATATCCCACCAAGAAGGATCCCTTCAAGACACTTCCTTCTCACGTGCTTTCGCACAAAATTAGCCACACAGAAGGACCCTTCCTGAGCCAGAGTGCACCACTCGTGGCACTCGTACATTTTATTGATCTTAATTTCGATACAAAGGCAGGGCGACTGAGGAGAACCGCGAGAAGCAACCATCATCGCCATCTCCACTGCCACTGCCACTGCCACCACTTCCAACACTAGGAACAAGTCCGAGCATCTCCGACCTAATGCTGAACGATGGCTCCCCCTTTGAGGAGGATGAGGATATTGACATAGTAAAACTGGATGAAACTCTCAGCTCCAATGAAGAGGAGGTTTACAAGACGGCCAGCAAGGAAGAGCCAGAGCTGACGCCAGAGCTGAAGCCAAAGCCAAAGCCAAAGACAGAGGCGGATCATCCTGAGGCTGTCAGGGAGAACGAGGTGCTCAAACAGCAGGCGGACAACGAGGACAACGAGATACCCGTCCATCTGAAGCCGCTCAAGCCGTACGTGAGTGAGCGCATTGATCAGCCCGGCAGACGCATCTTTGTGAACCTGACGATAGCCACCGATGACGGCAGCGACTCCGTGTACACCCTGCACGTGGAAGTGCCCACGGGCGGGGGCTCGCACACCATCAAGGAAGTATTGAGCCACGAGCAGAGGACACCTCAGTCCCAGTCCCAGTCCCAGCACCAATCCCAGCCGGCGGACAGCAGTGCGGACAACAGCTGTGTCCCGGAGCCACCGCCTCGCATGCCCGACTGCCCCTGCAGCTGCCTGCCCCCCACCATGCCCGTGTACATGGACGAGAACGTTGACATTGACTCTGCTCCAACAACGACACCGGGGACCATTTTGAGTGTCGGTGCCCCCCAGCCCCAGCAGAGACCAAAAGAAGAGTTTGACGCTGGGACTGAGGATGGGGTCGTTGACGGTGACGGTGACGGGGACACTGACACGGGGGGACCAATGCCTGCCACATCCGCTGCGCCCAGCAACGCTACTAACCCCCCCGCTAGCCACCCCGCCACCGAGCTCGATAACAACATTGCCGCCTCCTATACTGAACCGAGTGTTGGTGCAGGTGCAGGTGCTGGTGCTGGTGCATGCCCCGATGTAATGCCAATACTCATACTGGAAGGTGAATTGTGCTCACAGCATTCGTTGCTAACCCCTGGCCCAGCTTTCGACTAACCAGCAATCGACTAACCCCGACTAAACGCTGTACAGAATACTAACTCTAGTCTAAGGCTTCTTACTAAACTCAATCTGAATCACTCCTCATACTGTTCCCCGCATTTGAATGTACAAACACAACCTTCAAGCATGAATATCTGGCATCGCATCAGTATCAGGCATCAGCATCTGGTCATCCACTAACAAAGAGGGGGATCCCCAGCTCCATTCATTGAGGGGGAAGCCAGCGAACCGATAGGACTAGGCTAAGAACTGTACAAAGTCCCCAGCCCCAACTACTGCCTACTACCCTGCCACAATAAATATATATCATGTGTATTATACTATATCTCATACTTGTATACTTGAAAGAGAAAGACCGAATCGTTGACTAACCCGTGTATCTGTCTACTCTTTGTCCCGCCTCTCATCCCATTATTGCCCAAAAAATTGCGATTGCTTTTGCGTTGCGTTTGCGTTTGCTGCACCTGAAGGAGCCCGCACCTTCCCGGCACGCAGCTTCCCACCGGACGGCACCACCTTTGGCCAGATAACGCTCGGCCAGAAGCTGACAAAGGAGATCCAGCCGTACAGCTACTGGAACATGCAGTTCTACCAGTCGGAGCCGGCATACGTCAAGTTTGACTACACCATACCGCGCGGAGCCTCGATCGGGGTGTACGGACGCCGCAACGCCCTGCCCACGCACACCCAGTACCACTTCAAGGAGGTGCTCAGCGGCTTCAGCGCCAGCACACGCACAGCACGGGCTGCTCACGTAAGTAGTGCGCATCCCCCTTGGGCTAATACATATACTAACGCTTTGGTTCTCTTTCAAATCACATATCGCACATCACATGTCGCACATCATATGTCGAATCACGTCATTTGCTCGCCTGCTCGCCTGCTTGGCCCGCCGTGCAGCTGTCCATAACGCGGGAGGTTACACGCTACATGGAGCCGGGTCATTGGTTCGTCTCGCTCTACAACGATGACGGGGATGTGCAGGAACTGACCTTCTACGCGGCCATAGCCGAGGACATGACCCAGAACTGCCCGAACGGGTGCTCCGGCAACGGGCAGTGCCTGCTGGGGCACTGCCAGTGCAACCCCGGCTTCGGAGGTGACGACTGCAGCGAGAGCGTCTGCCCGGTGCTGTGCTCGCAGCACGGCGAGTACATCAACGGCGAGTGCATCTGCAATCCCGGCTGGAAGGGCAAGGAGTGCTCGCTGCGGCACGACGAGTGCGAGGTGGCCGACTGCAATGGGCATGGCCACTGCGTCAGCGGCAAATGCCAATGCATGCGCGGCTACAAGGGGAAATTCTGTGAAGAAGGTACACCCAGAATCCATTCGACTGTCTAGCTATAAGTGCTCGCACATGTGCATATCCTTGTAAATCCGTCTTGACTAATATTTGTGCATCTCCTTCCCAGTGGACTGCCCGCACCCGAACTGCTCGGGCCATGGATTCTGCGCCGACGGCACCTGCATCTGCAAGAAGGGCTGGAAGGGACCGGACTGCGCCATCATGGACCAGGACGCCCTACAGTGCCTGCCCGACTGCTCGGGCCACGGCAGCTTCGACCTAGACACCCAGACCTGCTCCTGCGAGGGCAAGTGGAGCGGCGACGATTGCTCCAAGGAGCTGTGCGACCTCGACTGCGGCCAGCACGGACGCTGCGAGGGCGATGCCTGCGCCTGCGACCCCGAATGGGGCGGCGAGTACTGCAACACGAAGCTCTGCGACGGCCGCTGCAACGAGCACGGCCAGTGCAAGAACGGAACGTGCCTCTGTGTGACCGGGTGGAATGGCAAGCACTGCACCATCGAGGGCTGTCCCAACAGCTGCGCCGGACACGGCCAGTGCAGGGTGAGCGGCGAGGGTCAGTGGGAGTGCCGCTGCTACGAGGGCTGGGACGGACCGGACTGTGGCATCGCACTGGAGCTCAACTGCGGCGACAGCAAGGACAATGACAAAGGTGAGACACACACAGAGGAAGAGGGAGAGAGATAGAGATAGAGAGAATGGCAAGAGCGATTTATAAACTAATTTTCCACAGATGGCCTGGTTGACTGCGAGGATCCCGAGTGCTGTGCCAGCCACGTGTGCAAGACCTCCCAGCTGTGCGTGTCGGCGCCGAAGCCCATCGATGTGCTGCTGCGGAAGCAGCCGCCGGCCATTACCGCCTCCTTCTTCGAGCGGATGAAGTTCCTCATCGACGAGAGCAGCCTGCAGAACTACGCCAAGCTGGAGACCTTCAACGAGAGGTGGGTGCTTCCTGGTAGCCAGTTTGTCCTGGTTTTTTGCTCAGAGTTTTTTAGTTTACAACCGAAATCGAAGTCGCAAGGCTGTGTATAGTTTCCGCAATTGGCATTCAAATCGAATTCAAATCCCGTAAATCCCACCTTACGAAAGTCTAGCTGGATAAACCATATATCAAACAATATATGTATACCATCAAAGAACAAAAAACAAAAATAACAATAATAATCAAATAGTTTGCATAATTAATTGATTTTCTATGTTTAAATATTTACGTTTTTCGTTTTCGTGCCCTCGTCTAAAACAAATCCCCAAAATGAAAACATATCCCACCACAAACCAGAATCCCATTCAAAAATCTTGTAAATATGAATCCCTATATGTCCTTTGTTTACAACGAATCCCCCCATCTCCCATAAAGAATATACAGAAACATCCTAAGTTAGCGCATAAGTACCATATATCCACTAGGAGGTCGAAGAGTCGTTGCCGCGTTAGGTCTAAGTCAAGGTCCGCTTAAGGTAGAGTTAACCAGTTAGAGCACCCTTCACAAAGGGCCATCGCATATCGCATCGGAATCGAACCGAGCCGAGCTAAACCCTTGTGGAGGGATCTGGCGATTTCGGTATGATCGAAACCAACTGCGCTAGGGCCAATGCCAGCATCTGATGAGGCATCTAATGAGGCATCTGATGAGGAGCAGCAATTAACACAACACTTAACCAGACCATAGACAACCATGCTAATTCAATTATTTTCTCTCTGCTCTCTTTTCTTCTCAAACACGCGCTCCCTAAACCGTATTAATGTAATACTAAATTACTCCTGCTCTACTCGAAACTTACTACACTCGATACTACTACTACTACTACTCGATACTAACTACGCAAACGCCCACGCACACGCACCCATTACTCACACACACACTCCACTCACAAAACTCCACTCACTTAACCAAACCCGAACTACGCGTCTACTACGAATTCGAAATGCTTTGCATTAACTAACGAATGCTAATCGCTCTCGTTGCTCCATACTCGGTAAACGGTAATCGGTAATCTGTACTCGTTACTCGTTACACGTTACTCGTTGCTCAATTCGAATCGATATCGAAATCAAAATCAATAATACTAACAGCATTTTTTGGAATTATTTCAATGCAAGGTAAGCAAGCGAAAAGCGGTACTAAAATAATACTAAAAAAAAACATACTACTCTACTCTACTACTAATTCTCAATGGTTGTTTGGTACACCTTATACTTATACTTAAACGTATATTTATACTTAAACTTATACTTAAACTTATACTTATACTTAAACTTATACTTATATCGTTACATTCGTTTCCACTCGCTATTTATTTCGAAAACTCGTTCATTTCCATTAACGTTCTTATCATTATCATTTCTTTGAAATATTGTAGTTTATTTTGGTTCCAATAGGCGCTCGGTTGGTTGGTAGTTTACAATATTTTAAGTTCTTTACGCTCCAGACAACCAGCAATATCAACCCAAATATCAACTATCAACCATCGAAGATATCAAATACCCAAACGAAGCGTTGATAAATACCATACTTTGGGTTCTTTAGTTGAACATACATGATATATGTCTAAGCTATCGATTCAATCGAATTGAATCGCTGAATCGTTCTCGTACTTAGGTCAATGCTAGGTCACATACACATATACTACATACATACACACACACTATATATATTGTTCAACTTGTAATACCTTTATGTGTTGAAACGAGTCTTATGTTCTGTGCGTGTGAATTCTTATCATTTATGAGTACTACTTATTTGTTGTTTGTTCAAGTAGTTGCCAGTCCTCAGTTCGAACCGCTTGATAGCCATAGCCATAGCCATCCATATCTACAATAGATGATATGAATATGTATCTATCCTTCAAACGACACCCCATCCTTGCGAGACCCCACTAATCTCTGTTCTCTGTAATCCCCACAGCCGATCGGCAGTAATCCGCGGACGCGTCGTCACCTCGCTGGGCATGGGCCTGGTGGGTGTCCGAGTCTCGACGACCACTCTACTGGAGGGCTTCACGCTGACCCGCGACGACGGCTGGTTCGATCTCATGGTTAATGGTGGAGGGGCTGTCACCCTGCAGTTCGGACGAGCGCCCTTCCGGCCCCAGTCGCGCATTGTGCAGGTGCCCTGGAACGAGGTGGTCATCATCGACGTGGTGGTTATGAGCATGTCCGAGGAGAAGGGCGTGGCCACGACAACGACGCACACGTGCTTCTCGCACGACTACGACCTGATGAAGCCCGTGGTGCTCGCCTCCTGGAAGCACGGCTTCCAAGGAGCCTGTCCCGACCGCAGTGCCATTCTCGCAGAGTCGCAGGTCATCCAGGAATCGCTTCAGATTCCCGGCACAGGACTGAATCTGGTCTATCATTCGTCCCGCGCCGCCGGCTATCTGTCCACGATCAAGCTGCAACTGACCCCCGACACAATACCCGCCACGCTGCACCTCATCCACCTCCGCATCACCATTGAAGGTATCCTCTTCGAGCGCGTCTTCGAGGCCGATCCGGGCATTAAGTTCACGTACGCCTGGAACCGGCTCAACATCTACAGGCAGCGCGTCTACGGCGTGACCACGGCGGTGGTCAAGGTCGGCTACCAATACACGGACTGCAAGGACACCGTTTGGGATATCCAGACCACCAAGCTGAGTGGCCACGACATGTCCATCTCGGAGGTGGGCGGCTGGAACCTAGACATCCACCATCGCTACAACTTCCACGAGGGCATCCTGCAGAAGGGCGACGGCTCGAACATCTACCTGCGGAACAAGCCCCGCATCATCCTCACCACCATGGGCGATGGCCACCAGCGACCTCTCGAGTGCCTGGACTGCGACGGCCTGGCCATGAAGCAGCGTCTGCTCGCCCCCGTCGCTCTGGCTGCCGCCCCCGATGGCAGTCTCTTTGTCGGCGACTTCAACTACATCCGGCGCATAATGACCGACGGCAGCATCCGCACCGTCGTCAAGCTGAATGCCACTCGCGTGTCCTACCGCTACCACATGGCCCTGAGTCCGCTCGACGGCACTCTGTATGTCTCCGACCCGGAGTCGCACCAGATCATCCGTGTGCGCGACACCAACGACTACTCGCAGCCGGAGCTGAACTGGGAGGCGATCGTGGGTTCCGGCGAGCGCTGCTTGCCCGGAGACGAGGCCCACTGCGGGGACGGAGCATTAGCGAAGGACGCCAAGCTGGCGTACCCCAAGGGCATTGCCATCTCCAGCGACAACATCCTGTACTTTGCGGACGGAACGAACATCCGGATGGTGGATCGGGACGGCATCGTGAGCACCCTCATCGGCAACCACATGCACAAGTCGCACTGGAAGCCCATACCCTGCGAGGGCACCCTCAAGCTGGAGGAGATGCACCTGCGCTGGCCCACCGAGCTGGCCGTTTCGCCCATGGACAACACCCTGCACATCATCGACGACCACATGATCCTGCGCATGACCCCAGACGGACGCGTTCGAGTGATCTCCGGTCGGCCGCTGCACTGCGCCACTGCCTCCACGGCCTACGACACGGATCTGGCCACACACGCCACCCTGGTGATGCCACAATCCATAGCATTCGGACCCCTCGGAGAGCTATTCGTGGCCGAGAGCGACTCGCAAAGGATCAACCGCGTGCGAGTGATCGGAACGGACGGACGCATTGCACCGTTCGCGGGCGTCGAGTCCAAGTGCAACTGCCTGGAGCGCGGATGCGACTGCTTTGAGGCGGAGCACTACCTAGCCACAAGCGCCAAGTTCAACACCATTGCCGCCCTGGCCGTCACCCCCGACGGACACGTACACATTGCCGACCAGGCCAACTACCGCATACGGTCCGTGATGTCGAGCATTCCCGAGGCGAGCCCCTCGCGGGAGTACGAGATCTACGCGCCGGACATGCAGGAGATCTACATCTTCAACAGGTTCGGGCAGCACGTCTCCACGCGCAACATCCTCACCGGAGAGACCACGTACGTGTTCACCTACAACGTGAACACCTCCAACGGCAAGCTGAGCACCGTCACGGATGCGGCCGGCAACAAGGTGTTCCTGCTGCGCGACTACACCTCGCAGGTGAACTCCATCGAGAACACCAAGGGCCAGAAGTGCCGCCTGCGCATGACCCGCATGAAGATGCTGCACGAGCTGAGCACGCCGGACAACTACAACGTCACCTACGAGTACCACGGCCCCACGGGACTCCTCAAGACCAAACTGGACTCCACCGGACGCTCATATGTCTACAACTACGACGAGTTCGGCCGCCTCACCTCTGCCGTGACGCCTACCGGAAGGGTCATCGAACTGAGCTTCGACCTGAGCGTGAAGGGAGCCATGGTGAAGGTGTCGGAGAACTCCCAGAAAGAGCAGTCGATGCTGATCCAGGGAGCCACGGTCATCGTGAAGAACGGAGCCGCCGAGTCGCGCACCACCGTCGACATGGACGGCTCCACGACCAGCATTACGCCCTGGGGACACACCCTCCAAATGGAGGTGGCCCCGTACACAATTCTGGCCGAACAGAGTCCCCTGCTAGGCGAGAGCTACCCCGTGCCGGCCAAGCAGCGCACAGAGATCGCTGGGGATCTGGCCAACCGCTTCGAGTGGCGCTACTTCGTGCGTCGCCAGCAGCCGCAGCTGCCGGGCAAGCAGAACAAGGCAACGCCACGCCCCGTCACCGAGGTGGGACGCAAGCTGCGCGTGAACGGAGACAATGTGCTGACCCTGGAATACGATCGCGAGACCCAGTCTGTGGTGGTGATGGTGGACGACAAGCAGGAGCTGCTGAACGTCACCTACGACCGCACCTCGCGCCCCATCAGCTTCCGGCCGCAATCGGGCGACTATGCGGACGTCGATCTGGAGTACGATCGCTTCGGGCGGCTGGTTAGCTGGAAGTGGGGCGTGCTCCAGGAGGCCTACTCCTTCGATCGCAACGGCCGCCTCAACGAGATCAAGTACGGCGACGGCTCGACCATGGTCTATGCCTTCAAGGATATGTTCGGATCGTTGCCATTGAAGGTGACCACGCCGCGCCGCTCGGACTATCTGCTGCAGTACGACGATGCCGGGGCTCTGCAGAGTCTGACCACGCCGCGTGGCCACATCCACTCGTTCTCGCTGCAGACGTCGCTGGGCTTCTTCAAGTACCAGTACTACTCGCCCATTAACCGCCATCCCTTCGAGATTCTGTACAACGACGAGGGCCAGATCCTAGCCAAGATCCACCCCCACCAATCCGGCAAGGTTGCCTTTGTGCACGACGCCGCCGGACGCCTGGAGACAATTCTGGCGGGACTCTCGAGCACCCACTACACCTACCAAGACACCACCAGCCTGGTAAAGTCCGTGGAGGTGCAGGAGCCCGGCTTCGAGCTGCGCCGCGAATTCAAGTACCACGCCGGCATCCTCAAGGACGAGAAGCTGCGGTTCGGCTCCAAGAACTCGCTGGCCTCGGCCCACTTCAAGTACGCCTACGACGGCAACGCCAGATTAAGCGGCATCGAGATGGCCATCGACGACAAGGAGCTGCCCACGACCCGTTACAAGTACAGCCAGAACCTGGGACAGCTGGAGGTCGTTCAGGACCTGAAGATAACACGCAACGCGTTCAACCGCACGGTCATCCAGGACTCGGCCAAGCAATTCTTCACCATTGTGGACTACGACCAGCACGGTCGCGTCAAGAGTGTGCTCATGAACGTCAAGAACATCGACGTGTTCCGCCTGGAGCTGGACTACGACCTGCGAAACCGCATCAAGTCGCAGAAGACGACCTTTGGCCGGTCCACGGCCTTCGACAAGATCAACTACAATGCCGATGGCCACGTGATCGAGGTCCTGGGCACCAACAACTGGAAGTATTTGTACGACGAGAATGGCAACACTGTGGGCGTTGTGGATCAGGGGGAGAAGTTCAATCTGGGCTACGACATCGGGGATCGCGTGATCAAGCTGGGCGACGTGGAGTTCAACAACTACGATGCCCGCGGCTTTGTGGTGCGTCGAGGGGAGCAGAAGTACCGGTACAACAACCGCGGACAGCTGATCCACGCCTTCGAGCGCGAGCGGTTCCAGAGCTGGTACTACTATGACGACCGCAGCCGCCTGGTGGCCTGGCACGACAACAAGGGCAACACTACACAGTACTACTACGCCAATCCGCGGACCCCGCACCTGGTCACGCATGTGCACTTCCCCAAGCTAGGCAAGACCATGAAGTTCTACTACGACGACCGCGACATGCTGATTGCCCTGGAGAACGCCGATCAGAGGTACTATGTCGCCACCGATCAGAACGGCTCGCCCCTGGCCTTCTTCGACATGAACGGCGGCATCGTCAAGGAGCTTAAGCGCACTCCGTTCGGGCGCATCATCAAGGACACCAAGCCCGACTTCTTTGTGCCCGTTGACTTCCACGGCGGTCTGATCGATCCACACACCAAGCTGATCTACACGGAGCAGCGGCAGTACGATCCCCACGTGGGTCAATGGATGACACCGCTCTGGGAGACCCTTGCCACCGAAATGTCCCACCCCACGGATGTGTTCATCTACCGGTACCACAACAACGACCCCATCAACCCGAACAAGCCGCAGAACTACATGATCGACCTGGACGCCTGGCTGCAGCTGTTCGGCTACGACCTGGACAACATGCAGAGCACCCGCTACACCAAACTGGCCCAGTACACTCCCCAGGCTTCCATCAAATCGAACACGCTGGCCCCCGACTTTGGCGTCATCTCCGGGCTGGAGTGCATTGTGGAAAAGACGAGCGAGAAGTTCAGTGACTTTGATTTCGTGCCCAAGCCGCTGCTTAAGATGGAGCCAAAGATGCGCAACCTCCTGCCGCGCGTCAGCTACCGTCGCGGTGTCTTTGGCGAGGGCGTGCTGCTCTCGACGATCGGCGGACGGGCCCTGGTCAGCGTTGTGGATGGAGCCAATAGCGTGGTGCAGGACGTTGTGAGCAGTGTGTTCAACAACTCCTTCTTCCTGGACCTGCACTTCAGCATACACGACCAGGACGTCTTCTACTTTGTGAAGGACAATGTGCTGAAGCTACGCGACGACAACGAGGAGCTGCGTCGCCTGGGCGGCATGTTCAACATATCAACACACGAGATCAGCGATCACGGCGGCAGTGCGGCCAAGGAGCTGCGCCTCCACGGCCCCGATGCGGTGGTGATCATCAAGTACGGCGTGGATCCCGAGCAGGAGCGTCATCGCATACTCAAGCATGCCCACAAGCGAGCCGTGGAGAGGGCCTGGGAGCTGGAGAAGCAGCTGGTAGCTGCCGGCTTCCAGGGTCGCGGTGACTGGACCGAGGAGGAGAAGGAGGAGCTCGTCCAACACGGCGACGTCGATGGATGGATTGGCATTGACATACACAGCATTCACAAGTATCCCCAGCTGGCCGACGATCCCGGCAACGTGGCCTTCCAGCGCGATGCCAAGCGCAAGCGCCGCAAGACAGGAAGCAGCCACAGATCCAGCTCCAGCCGGCGCCAACTCAGGGTCGGCGAGCCGAATGCGTGAGTCGAGGAGGACAAAGAGGAGCAGCAGCTTGAGCCCGAGCCCAAGACCGATCTCGAGCCCGAGCTCGATGTGGAGCTGGAGAGTGAAGCGGCCGATGGGGAGTATGGCGAGCAGGAGGACTACTTAATAGCCGTGGGCAGAAAGGAGCAGAGGGACAGCAGCGAGACGGCTGAGGAGCAGATTTTGTAATTAGGTGAAATACGCAACAGCGACAACCACAACCACAGCAGCACAATGACACATGACAAGAGAACACACAAGAGAACATTCAACAAAACACTTATTAATATGAACTTTGATCAAGCTTAAAGTTTAGTATTAGTCACCAGGCCACCCAGCCCAGATGTGTAACGGCACCGGCACTGGTATGTGCACCGGAACCGAACAGAAATATGTATGTGTATGTTGATGTTGAGTTTAGGCTTACAATAGGCGTAGTCCATGTGTGTAATGTTTACTGGAATTTTTTTTTAGAATTTAAGTCAGTGTCCTTCCGGACAACAGCCTGCTTGCAGTTGCATTGGCATTGGCATTGGCATTGGCATCCACATGTACGCTACAAGAGCGTATTGATGAATCTAATGCATCAGCAGAGGGACAGAGCTCCGAATGGAGTGGAACAGAACAAAATAGAACAGAATAAAACAGAGCAATGCTCGTATTGTTTGATCGCGAGCCTATTTTGTGTCTGGTCTACCCATTGGCCCATTAGCATTTGGATGTCGAACGATGAGTATTACACAGCAAAATATGCATACGAATAAGTAAAGATGTTAATCTAACAGTTGAATAAATGTAAAGAGATTAAAGGCAACCAGTAGTAGCCCTAGCCCCTAGCCCCTAGCCCCTAGCCCCTAGCCCCTAGCCCCTAGCCCCTAGACCCTAGCCTAGCCCCCACTCATGGCTTGAAAGCTGCTTCACTTTCGTAATGCTTTGTGTATATACGACTACGACTACTTTACTATATGCTTTAACTATCGATCAGCGCGTTTATTTTTCTTTCAAACACGTACTTCTTTTCAACGAAAAAGATACTTTACCCGAATGCTCGAATTTAAATTACTCAGAAGCGTCTTCTTTGTTTGGATAGCTGAGAATCAAAAGGAATCTTTAGACATACAGACAGACAGACAGTCCCCCTTCAAAGCAATGCAATGCAATACTCTATCGACTCTTTCCACTCATTTTTTTTAAATGTTAAACTGTTGAATTTGTAATTCAAAGGAAAAATGCATTAAAAACTTTTTACAAATTGTGATATATATTTCTAAACATTTAATTTGAGAACTTGAAGTGTGACGAACAAAAATCGAAGTAAATCGAATGGAATCGAACCGAACCGAACCGAATATGAACATGAACAGCAACACCATGTACTGTACTCATTTTTTTTAAAGATAGTCCTTAACTTTTAGTTTTTAGACCGCAATATTTAGTGTGTACCGTTTGCCATGTTAATTTGTAAAAGCAACCCAGTTTTTAATGCTAAATCCCCCCACGGGAGTGTCACATAGCGTTTAGTTTCTTTTAATCTGGTGATTTTTTTTTTGTGTTTGTTTTTTCAATTATTGCAATTTTAATTGCCCCGATTTGAAGCCGTTTCTAAGGTCCCTTCTATTTTGTTGGACTTTAGCCAACATTTTGTGTTTATAATTATTATTGAAATATTTATAACTGAAACTAAACTATTGACTATTGAGATATAAACTAGCATAAAAACTTAGTGTGCGTATTTAGGTCTTGAGGAGTACGTGAACGTGAACGTAAACGTAAACGTAAATACACCCCTATAATAACCATATGGAACACACCTTGTATTATATACACCCGCAAATACACAAACACAAACACACACACACATACACACACACACACTACACATACACATAGTTATTAAGGATTAGGCTAAAGAAAGGAAGATCGGTAAGAACGAAAAGGATTAGCCCCTAACTAATGTCAAAATAAGCGATGGATACTGTTCCAAGGCAGAATGGACTGGGGAGTGCAGAGAGAAGAGCGTAGTAATTAGCTAAAGTGTTAGTAATTTTATTCAATAAAATTATAAATGAAACAAAAGATAATTGATAATGGATAAACACTTAAACCCTATATTTAAGACTATACATCATAATCTGTACGCGTACATTTTTTTTTTTTTTGAGGAGTGAAGCTGCTGCTGTGTAACTAATGGAAGATATGGAAGCGATATCTTTCTCTATTTTTTTTTCTGAACATTACACAGCAGAAACATTTACTCAAACGGAATATTGTAAAAATCGCAAACGTATATAAATGTGTATGTAATAAGATTAAGCAAGCATTATATTAACCAAAAAAACATATAACGAACAAAACAAAATTATTGAAATCAGCGTAAAGAAAGCAGCACACAATTGTGACTGAGAAACATAAGATCTACAGAATACTAGTACGGATGGATGCAGATGGTCCACGTCCAACTCGTTTGTGCTTTGATCTACATACCGAAACCCCCTTTGTTCTTCGACGTGAACTGTAAATTTCCAGCAAATGGCGAGCGCCAACCTTAAGCAATTAGTTGGGCTCATGTTTAGACTTAATAACTGATTGTAATGAAATAGAAACCACATCTATAAGCAGCACGCCGTTGAAGTAAAGCAATTACGATTCGAATCATTCATAACTTACGATACATGTATTAAGTGTACGAAATTGAAATTGTCTCTTCAAATCATACAGATACCGATCACCGATCAAGCCGCCACAGCAGCGGTAGAGTTAGTTTATAAAATAAAATAAAAAACAAAACGATTGCAAAAAAAAAAAACAAAAACAAAGAATGACGCAACGCAAAAATTAATTGTATTCACATAACATACCTACATTTATGGCAAGCCGATATACATGATAATACATCCATATAAATACATATATATAATAACTAATAATATTACGAGTAAAAAGCGATTTCAATAAAATGGAAAATATAAAAAAAAACTTTTCAATTTATAGTTTTACGATTCTGTTGATTTTCAAAATTAAGTAATACATTTCAGAACAATATTGCACGATCTATTGCGCCTAACAACGTTATAAGTCGAAATCCTTAATAGCATTAATGTAAATTTAAAGGATCGAGGATATTTTCCCGATCACGAGAAGGCGTGGCACGCGTTGCCGCATCGGCCCATAAATAGTCGAAATGGGTTTTTCGATTTTGGAAAACTTGCTTACCATCATGATTTTTTGCGAAAATCGTGAAAAATTGATGTCCCTCTTTCCCATTGCAGTCGATTGCCAGGACTCTCCTAAACACGACAAGACATGCCGTATTGCAGAGGTATGGCGTGCAGAAGAAACCAGTATTTTAATGATATGCAAATCCAAATCTTCAGAAGGCTATATCTCAGACAGTAAAGGACCAACTCTCCCAGGATCGGGAGGATAAAATAAAAATCAAGAATAACAATTATAATAACAATTATTCAATAAAAATCAAGAATAACAATTATAATAATAGTTATTCGATAAAAATCAAGAATAACAATTATCATAATAGTTATTCAATAAAAATCAAGAATAACAATTATAATAATAGTTATTCAATAAAAATCAAGAATAACAATTATAATAATAGTTATTCGATAAAAATCAAGAATAACAATTATAATAATAGTTATTCGATAAAAATCAAGAATAACACTTATAATAATAGTTATTCAATAAAAATCAAGAATAACAATTATCATAATAGTTATGCAATAAAAATCAAGAATAACAATTATGATAATAATTATTCAATAAAAATCAAGAATAACAATTATCATTATAGTTATTCAATAAAAATCAAGAATAACAATTATAATAACAATTATTCAATAAAAATCAAGAATAACAATTATAATAATAGTTATTCGATAAAAATCAAGAATAACAATTATAATAATAGTTATTCGATAAAAATCAAGAATAACAATTGTAATAATAGTTATTCAATAAAAATCAAGAATAACAATTATAATAACAATTATTCAATAAAAATCAAGAATAACAATTATCATAATAGTTATTCAATAAAAATCAAGAATAACAATTATAATAATAGTTATTCAATAAAAATCAAGAATAACAATTATAATAATAGTTATTCAATAAAAATCAAGAATAACAATTATAATAATAGTTATTCAATAAAAATCAAGAATAACAATTATAATAATAGTTATTCGATAAAAATCAAGAATAACAATTATAATAATAGTTATTCAATAAAAATCAAGAATAACAATTATAATAACAATTATTCAATAAAAATCAAGAATAACAATTATAATAATAGTTATTCGATAAAAATCAAGAATAACAATTATAATAATAGTTATTCAATAAAAATCAAGAATAACAATTATAATAACAATTATTCAATAAAAATCAAGAATAACAATTATAATAATAGTTATTCGATAAAAATCAAGAATAACAATTATAATAATAGTTATTCAATAAAAATCAAGAATAACAATTATAATAACAATTATTCAATAAAAATCAAGAATAACAATTATAATAATAGTTATTCAATAAAAATCAAGAATAACAATTATAATAATAGTTATTCAATAAAAATCAAGAATAACAATTATCATAATAGTTATTCAATAAAAATCAAGAATAACAATTATAATAACAATTATTCAATAAAAATCAAGAATAACAATTATAATAATAGTTATTCAATAAAAATCAAGAATAACAATTATAATAATAGTTATTCGATAAAAATCAAGAATAACAATTATAATAATAGTTATTCAATAAAAATCAAGAATAACAATTATAATAACAATTATTCAATAAAAATCAAGAATAACAATTATCATAATAGTTATTCAATAAAAATCAAGAATAACAATTATAATAATAGTTATTCGATAAAAATCAAGAATAACAATTATAATAACAATTATTCAATAAAAATCAAGAATAACAATTATAATAATAGTTATTCAATAAAAATCAAGAATAACAATTATAATAACAATTATTCAATAAAAATCAAGAATAACAATTATCATAATAGTTATTCAATAAAAATCAAGAATAACAATTATAATAACAATTATTCAATAAAAATCAAGAATAACAATTATCATAATAGTTATTCAATAAAAATCAAGAATAACAATTATAATAATAGTTATTCGATAAAAATCAAGAATAACAATTATAATAATAGTTATTCAATAAAAATCAAGAATAACAATTATAATAACAATTATTCAATAAAAATCAAGAATAACAATTATAATAATAGTTATTCGATAAAAATCAAGAATAACAATTATAATAACAATTATTCAATAAAAATCAAGAATAACAATTATAATAATAGTTATTCGATAAAAATCAAGAATAACAATTATAATAACAATTATTCAATAAAAATCAAGAATAACAATTATAATAATAGTTATTCAATAAAAATCAAGAATAACAATTATAATAATAGTTATTCGATAAAAATCAAGAATAACAACGCCCTGTTCGTGCGCGGTTCGTGCCATGGCCCGCCGGGATCAGAAAAATGCCCTTGATCCTTCGGTAAGGACTCCAACATCACAACTATACATATTGTGGCCCGATCGAATCGTGAGACAGCTTCCTGTGATCGGAAAAATGTCCTTGATTTATTGGACTCCTTATCAAGGATTAAGGACATTTTCCCCAATCAACAATATTTAGTTTTATCCGTTATTTGTGAACCAATCGGGGCGTGACACGACTTTTTTAATCGGAATAGATTCCCCCATACAGGATACAGCAAGGATAGGTTTATTCATCATAACTTAACCTAGTATGAATATATAAAAAAGTGGAAAACATGTATATCCTTAAAACTAACAGCAACGAGATCTATATAAAGTCTAGTAGTCCGCACAGTTCCTGCCTTGGTTGCCATGCCAAAGTCCTTGAGATAGTTGTCGATGACCAGGTCGAAAAATGACGATGGCTTGTTAAGTTCGGATCTTGAAAGGGGTGCGCTTTTGTCCTGCTGGGATGTCTGGCTGGGATAGGCCTCGGTCTGTCTCGAATGCTCGTCGGTAATGCTTGGATAGCGCTCCGTCTGGCGGGGGAAATCAGGTAGGACTCGGTTTGTAGCAAAGCGTAGGGTACATAGTCCTCTGTGAAGGAAGATAT